ACAGCCACCCCATTTTTGTCCTTTTTCCAATTTTTATGTTAATGCTGTGGTCTGCCTTGTAGACATCCCATTTGCGTAAAACAAAACAAAAAACGAAAAAAAAAAAACAAAAATGGACATGCGTGGTTTTTCACACGACGGTGACGACATAGTCCCCCAACAGTATTTTAATTGTAACCAAAATATAGACAAATCGGTACCGAAGAAACGTGCGCCATGAAGGCTAAATAAATAAATGCGAACGTTGGCGTTTCTGTTTTGATCCGTGTGCCATCACCGACGAGACCCGCGGAGGGTCACGAAAGAGGCGGCTGGTTTGTCCTCAACTGCGCAGGCAGCCAATCATCATTGCGTCCCCCAAAGACGGCGGCTCACGGCCAGTGACGGTGTGCGTTAGCGCTCGTTGAAACCTTGGCCTTTTTTCAACCCCCCCGTCACATCGGTTGTCAGCCCACGCCCGATTGCCGTGACATTTTCACGCAGTTGTTGCACTCGTCCGGAAAACTTAACGAGTAGCGGTCGCTGTGACTTGAAATGACGTCCGACCGATGGGCGATGGTTGGCAGGACGTGTCGGACAACCAGCTGACGGAGCTCCCGTCCGGCCTGGGCCGGCTGGGCCGCCTGCAGAAGCTCCACCTGTGCCGCAACAAGCTGGCCCGTCTGCCCGACAGCCTGCCGCTGCTCACCAGTAAGACACGAACGGCGGGGACGGGGACGGCCGGACTTGGAATCGGGCTCTCCCTTTCCTGAAAATCACACTTGCTTTTGAAAAAGTGCCCCGCCCCCTCCGCAGATGTGAAGTTGCTAGATTGCAGCAACAACCTTCTGAGCGACGTTCCCGCCAGCCTGTCGCAGATGGCGGCCCTGGAGCAGCTCTACCTGCGCCACAACAAGCTGCGCCGACTCCCGCCGCTTGGCGCGCCCGCGCTCAAGGTAAAACGCCCGTCTCGCGGTCGACTGCGTAGCGCAGAGGAGGCGCGGCGCGGAGGCGCAGGGTTTCGTTCTGGCTCTGGATTTCCCGCGTGGAGTTTGCGTGTTCTCCCCCACCCCCTCATCCATTTTCCGAGCCGCTTCTCCTCAGGAGGGTCGCGGGGCGTGCCCGGGGACACCCTGAACCGGTTGCCAGCCCATCGCGGGGCTCACGTAGACCGGCAACCATTTGTGCCCGCGGTGACACAGAGTGACAATTTAGTGCATGACGTTAACCTGCCGTGCATGTTTTCAGAAGGTGGGAAGAAACCGGAGGTTTTTTTTGAAAAAATATGATTTGATGAAAATTTGTGATCAATATTTCAAGATGAAACTTTAAAATCATTTTTGATCCAAATGGCTGGCATTGGGACAATTTTGTATTTTTGCAACATGGAAACAATTGGACAATCCCCACAGGGAGGTGTTAGTTTGACAGACATATTACATTTGATACATTTTTCAAATAAAACAAAAAGCAATTACATTTTGCACCATTAAAAAAATGTATGTCATAAAACCAGGAATAAAAAGGAGCACTTTCTAAAATACTGTTTTGGGTTTTCCCCGGATGGGTTGCAGAAACAGGAAGTAACATTTGAACAGCTGTGGGGTTCGTGTTTAACGTTTTGGTTTTTGTTTTTTTTTTTTGGGTGGGACACATTTTGAGAACGTCATCGAGCTCGAAACGCACGCGTAGGCAGGCGGCCCTGACGCTCGACTGTTTGCATCCGAGACGCAAATTGGCCGTTACGTTGCTGCCGCCGCCGCGTTTGCGCAGGAGCTCTACGTGGGGAACAACCAGATCGCGAGCGTGGCCGGCGAGGACGTGTCCAGCTTTGGCGCCCTCTCCGTGCTGGAGCTGCGAGACAACAAGATCGCGACGCTGCCCGAGCAGGTGGCCGCGCTCGGCGCGCTCACGCGCCTCGACCTCACCAACAACGACATCGGCACGTAAGTCCCGCCTCATGCGGCGCGCGGCGCGCTTTGGAAATGGCCGGCGTGATTTTAACGGCGCTTCCCGTCTGCTCGCCAGACTTCCCGCGTCGCTCGGCCTGCTGCCCGAGCTCAAGACTCTGCTGCTGGAGGGAAATCCCCTGCGCGGGATCCGGAGGGACCTGCTGACCGTTTGTCCGCTCATCTTGTCTTTAGCCCGCTGCGCTCTTTGCTTGTTTGGTGGCCTCGAAGTGGCGACAATTGAAAATGGGTCATGATGACTTGGATATTTGTTGCAAATTGGCCCCAAACCTCTTTGAGAGTAGATGCAAACGGAACCGCATGGAACAAATGCGACACGCGAGTCAAATGAATGACGCTTGACTTTTCCTTGGCCGCAGAAAGGAACCAACGAGCTTCTCAAGTACCTCAGAGGAAGAATTCAAGGTACAGGCGCGCGCGCGCCAATCTGCTCTCTTGACAAAAGCCCGCCCACAAGCCTTTTCTAACTTTCAGAGGAGCCCGATTGTGCCATCGACACGCCGACCGCCATGACGCTGCCCGGCCAGGCCGCCATCAACGTGCACAACATCAAAACGCTCAAGTCGCTGGCGTACAGGTGAGCGACGCTGTCCCACAGGCGCCAAACTCGGACGGCTGCACTCAATGTTTTGAAAATTCAGCCCGCGAAAAAAAACCTTTGACTCGGCAACGTGCGATTCGGTGGACACGTCTACATAAACCCTGTTGGGCACCGAACCGAAGCCACACGGGAAGTCAGCCATTTTGTCACCAAGGCGTTCTCGTGTTCCCGCTCAGTGACAAGAAGGCCGATCGCGTCCCGGACGAGCTGTTCCAGGCCGCCGCCGAGCACGCCGTCACCTCCGCCGACTTCAGCAAGAACCTGCTGAGCGACGTGCCGCCACGGTGAGCGAGCGAGCCACCTATCGGGTCTGACGCGGTGACGCATGCACGTTTGGGCCATTTTGTGTGTGTGTGTGCGTGTAGGCTGGCCGAAACGCGGGCCTCGCTGACGGAGCTCAACATGGCCTTCAACAGGCTGAGCTGCTGCGACTTGCTCTGCTCGCTGGTCAACCTGGTGCACCTCGACCTTCGGTACGCGCGGCAAGGCGGCCATTTTGGTTTCAAGCGGCCATTTTAAGCGGGGTCTTTTGTTTGCACGCGTCAGGAACAACCAGCTGAGGGATTTACCCGTCGAGCTGAAGAACTTGACAAAGCTTCACTCGGTCATCCTCAACTACAACAAGTAATCCTCCTGCAAGCTCACACGGCAACGCTTGGCGCGCGTGGGCGGGCGCTAAAAAGTTGTGCTGCAGGTTCAAGTCCTTCCCGGAGGTTTTGTACGACATGCCGTCGCTGGAAACCATCCTGCTCGGAAACAACCAGGTGGGTGGCGTGGACCCCGCTCGGTTGTTGGGCCTGCTCCGCCTGTCCACGCTGGACCTGTCCAACAACGACCTGCTCAACGTGCCGCCTCAGCTGGGCCTGTGCACAACGCTCAGGTGGGCGCCCGTTGTCATTTGTCACTACGGCCGCCGACATTTTTTTTTTTCCTAATTCATTTGAAAAAAACATGTCACAAAATTCGGAACTACACTAAAGATGTGTCATTATCGGATGTTTGCCTTCAAATTTGGAGGACCCAAAATATTTTGGGTTTTCTTTTGCTCCGTTTTGCAAGAAGGCGGCGGTGACAAGAAAATGTGAATGTGACTTGTGAAACGGTATAGAAACAGGAAGTGACATCACATTCAAAGCAGCGGCACCACGCGTTGTCAAAACTGTTTTTCCCCTTCGTTTCTTTCTCCTCCCCTAAAATGCAAATCACAGTGTCCCGTGTTTGTGTTGTTCAGGTGTCTGAGTCTGCAGGGAAATCCTTTCCGGACGCCGCGAGCCGCCATCGTGGCCAAGGGAACGGACGCCGTGCTGGAGTACCTGCGTAGCCGCATTCCCACTTGAGCCCCGACTCCCAAACGGCCCGCTCCTCGTAACCCCCCAAATCACGACAAGCCTTCTTTATTCATTAAAGAGATGTTTCATGTGCCAACTGTTTGACTCCACTTGCAAAGCTTTCTGAATCAATGGCTCACATCGGTTGACAGTCTTCTCTCTTAGCCCCGCCTTTTTCATGACAAGCTGCCAATCAGTGAACGGGGCATTATTTATTTCTTTATTTTTACATGGCCCATTTATAAAAATATCCACTCATCTGGGGCACAAAGACCACAAAGCTCAGCGTCACTTCAGAATTAAGCTCGGAGCGATCGTCTTCAGCGCGACTACAAATTATTCAACTCCACTCCGTCGGAAAATTATACATTTGCTCCGAATGACGGCTGCATCTTTGTTGAAGAATCTGTCTGAGAAGACGAGCGCCAATGTCACAAAATCTCTGTAATTCTTCACAATTCTAAATGTTGCTTTCTGCGGGTTTGTTGCTTTTTACAACATGTGTGTGCATTTGATTTCATGAACCCACGACAGTGAATGGTATGATTAACAATTCTCGGCCCTGTTGATTTTTTTGCTGTGGTGAAAGTAAAGATTTGGATGAGTCGACCATAGCGATTGTACAGATTGCTTTTGAATTTGGCTATCAATTGTACATTTTTCTTTTAAGTGTGCAGTTCATATAAAAACATTGTGTGGCATTGCATCAAGGGTCAAAGAATAGTGCATCCATGTGAAAATGGCAGCAAAATGACAGCTGTCATAATTTTCCCCAATAGTCCCGCCCCCGGAAGCCACACTTTGGACTATCCTCAAGCACACCCTTCTTCTTCGTTGGTATCATTACATTTGAGTCAGACAAACTTTCCACGGCTTTTTCTCCGACAAGGTTATTTTTCAATAACTTTCCAAAGATTTCCAGGTTTTTCATGAGCGAACAAACACTGATCTGAGTCGGAGGTGCAACACGCCAGCTCGTCCGCCTGACCGACGTGCCTCCGCTGCGGCCATGTCGGCACGGCAGGGGCGACGACGTTCCCGTCTGGGGCTGTGCATGGACATTCAAATTAGGTCCGTGCTTGCTCATTTCCCAACCGATGTTCGTGATGTTCACTTTTCGTTAACAGTTAGTCGTCCGTGGTAGTTTGAACCTGGTAAAAGTTACTCCCAGTTCCCTTGTCGTATTATGCCGTTGAATGGAACACAACGTCAACGCATCCTCGGACCTTCAGTTTTCTCGCCCTCCACACATGAAATGTGCCGGCGACGTCGCTCTTCCTATCTCAGCAGCTCAACGTCGGAGCTGCCCGTTTATATCTGTGGGACGCACCCCGTTAATGGCATGAGCATTCACTTCCGTTGGTCAAGATGATTTGCTATCCAAGTGTTTGGAGCCAGAAATTCCGCAATTGGCCCCTCCTACGACACGGATAAGCAACTCGGATAATGGGGGGTGGAGTCACAAATGTGCTCAAGGGATGGATTCGATTTCGACGGGTCAGTTAGAACAATTCCATTCGCGGCCACTGGATGGCAGAAGCGACTAAATGAACCAGAGCGTCCACTTTTTGTGACAGCGTTGAATGATGTGAATAGTGATAGTATTTCGAGCCCTCTTCCGTGGCTTGCGCCGTCCCTTTAAAAATTGCAACATGAAATCATGATGCACAGTTTAAGGTGCTATTTAATGACGTTTTTATGGAATATCAGACTACAGGGTGATTTTTTTCCAAATAAAAATTCAATTTGTATTTTTTTTTTTTGCCAGTGGACTGGTTACTGATTAATGTTATTTCCACCCATTCCAATTTGAAAAAATGATATCTCAAGGCACCACTGAAGACTACATTTCAATTAAATATACATTTTAACAAAATCATTAACAACAAAAGCAAAATGCACAATGCCTTATTTAAACTGCATCTTTTTTTAAGTATTGAGGACGCTTCCAAATGGACAAAATCCAATGACTTTATTTTCCAACAACGTAACATGGACATGAAAACATTCTGACTAGGACATCACGCTACATCCTGCTCATCTACGACAAACTAGCACGAAAAACATAAGCGGCAAAGTGCCGCAACACCTCGGTGTACCTAAACGCATCCTTCGCCCCGCATGGGCATTTGTGAATGTGTTTCTGCGCAACGTGTGTGAGACTGTGTGTGAGTGTGTGTGTGTGTGTGTGTGTGTGTGTGTGTGTGTGTGAGACAGGATGCTTGTGTACGCTGACATTTTCCGGGTGTTAAAATGTCTTCGGAGCACCGCTTGATACTCGTCAAGATGGCCGACCTCCGTACAATATATACAAAAATATAAAATGTAAATAAAAATACAAACAAATTCTCTTTCGGACGTTCGGAAGGGAGGACTGAGGTTTGGACGTCACGGTGGTTGTCGTCTACTTGTCCGTCTTCTGCTTCTTCCGCTCCACTTCGTCCTGTTTATGACAAAAAAAACGACAACTGACTCAACGACGTGGGATAACCCCCTTTGACGAACGCCGGTCAATCGGTTTCTGTTTCTTTGGGTGACGTTAGCCTGCCAGCGGGTTTCGCTATTAAGTATGAAATTAAAAGGTAGTTGGTTCGCTAGCAGTTAGCGTCATCAGCCGTATGCAACATTGTAGCAAAGTGACACAACTTGTTTTCTTGCCAACTAACTTGTTTGATCTATTTGTAACGCGAGGTGACTAGGAAGCCAGGTCAATATCTTCTATTGTCCATCATGATGTTTGGTAGGAGCTAGCTCGCTAACTTGTGACCAATCAGTAACATGTAGTTGCTTGTCGCTAGCTCACCAATGTCTAACCAATTCTGACTCCGCTCGTAGTAAGATAGCTAACTTCGATCTAGTTCACAACCTCCATTTGTTAGGTGCGAGTTTGCCACGTTCAAACTAATGAAGACCCGGCTAGTAGCCAACTTGCTAACTTCTAGCAAGCTTATAACATTTATTTGTTCGTAGCCACGACGCTAAGTTCTAACTAATGAAGTCTTTGCTAGTAGCTAGCTTGCGGCCTTTTTACCACCGTAAGCATGATTCCCCGTGTTATGATGAATCTCACTAACCCAAAGAAACATTTTATTTTATACAAATGCGATCCACATTTGCCATGTTCATTCTCGTCTTATCGTCTGCCATTCGCGCCTGGATACGGTAGGGCGCGTCCTGCCTTGGACGCAGCAGCCAATGGTATCGCAGCAGGGGCGTGGCCAACCCAAAACCCTGATGGCATTCGGAATCAGGCTCGTGTCCAGCGTGCGTTTGCTGCGAGCGGACGAAATCTCATTCGGAAATAGAAATGGGCGCGCTCGCTGTTTATTGGGGCACGTCGTTGCTAACTTGGAGCGTGTCTCTTGCTCACCTCGTCATCTTCATCATCATCATCGTCATCCTCAGCTGTTCTCTTCCCTGTGGGTGTGACCAGGTCATCGTCCTCTTCGTCCTCTTCCTCACCTGAACACACAGACACACAAACACACACGCACACACACACACGTGTTTCTGTCTGAAGAGTTTGTTTTTGTAACTGTGTGGATGTGAAATTGTGCGCAGGTTTTTTTGTTGTTGTTGTTTGTGTGCTTGTCTGCGTGTTTGTACGCGTGTCCTTGTTTTTGTGTGTGCAACAGTCAGTGTGTAATTTTGTCTGCATGTTTGCGCGCGTGTGCGATGCTGCGCACCCTCGCCGTCCTCTTCTTCCTCGTCTCCTACATCGTCGTCATCCTCCGCCTCGTTGTCCTGCTCCCCGTTCTCCTCGTCCTGACACACAGGCACGCACACACACCCAAGTGATGTTCCCACTGGGAGAGGAAGATGATGATGATGAAGAGGAGCCGCTGTCTCACCGTTTTTCCGTTGGCGGTGGTGTCGTCGCCGTTTTTTTCCTCCACAGTTTTCTTCTCCTTCAACTCCTGAAAGGAAATAAAAACACAAACACACACACACACACAAACACACACACACACACATAGTGAGCCTCGAATGTCCTCTTCTGTCACCGACACTTGAACACATCACAGATGTCCACAAACACTTGAACACGACAAGCTTTTTTTTTCCACCCACACTTTAATGTGCACTTGAACGCAACACTAAGTGTCCACAGCATCTTAACGTCACTTGAACACAACATAAATGTTTTGCAAACCCATCACATCACTTGAATGCAACAAGTGCGGATCGAGCTGTTTATGCGCACTTGGAACAAAACAGTTGTGTTCACCGACGGCTTCTTGTCCACTTGAATGTATCATTCCTGTTTAGCAACATTCTCATAATGTTCTTGCACACACCACGAGTGTTCACAACTTGATGTCCACTTGAATGCAACACTAGCCTTGATCAACAACTTGATTTCGTGTACACAGTCACATCAAATATGCCATGCATCTTGTAAGTGTATATAAGTTGTTTACGGACCTTGTTTGACTTAAAGTTATCCCAGTCTTCAGAATTGAAACCTCTGAACGGTCAATATTCTTTGATTTCTGGAGTCCTCCATGAAAGCAAGCTGATTTTTTTTTTCAAAATACAATATTTACAACCATCCACTTCCCCATTGGAAAAAGAAATCCACATTTTTCCAACGTTCTTCTGACATGTTACAGAACAAACCATTAAGTGAATATTAAATTTCCTGCACTACACGCACACACGCCCACACAGACTTCCTCTTTCATCTATAACCACTTCAAACAACAAGGCGTATGTAGGAATAGTTATGATTGTATGATGTTATCTTCTACTTTGTCCATTTCAGAAATGTTGCTGCTGTAAATTGGGGATTTCTCCATTGTGAGACAAATAAAAGTGTTCTCATCTTATCTTATTGTTGATGTAAATTATGTGTACTGTTGGATTGTTGTAATTTTTTGTACAACGGTTGTGAAAGCGCGATATCAATAAAGATATATAATATTGTGCGCGCTTGCTTGTGTGTGTGTGTGTGTGTGTGTGTGTGTGTGTGTGTGTGTGT